CAACAGTATATTGTGATGGGTCACAAAAAAGTATTAAAACAGTATTTTCTGAAACCGATAATTTCTTTACCATGTCTGGGTGCAAGATAAATACGAATAAATGCCAAGCATTATACCTGGGTGCAAATAATAATTGGCAAAATTTTCCTATGCAAGACCGAGGACTTCAGTGGAACCCTAGCTGTTTTAAAATTTTGGGCATTAATGTGTGTGGAAATGATACGGATCTTTTTACTGTGAACCTTTTGCCAAAACTTCAAAAACTGAAAATGGTTGCACAAATATGGTCCAAAAGAAATCTAGATTTCCTCGGAAAAATCACTGTGATTAAATCTTTGATGTTGAGCTTATTGGTTTATGTAGTTTCCATCTTACCAGTAATACTGCCCAATAGTTTTATAATGGAAGTAAATAAGATATGCCATGAATTTTTATGGGGTTCAAAATGGGAGAGAATAAAACGTAAGACATTAATTGCACCTGTGAAGGAAGGGGGGGTCAATATGCTTGATGTGGAATCATTTCTCATTGGTCAAAAATTAAGATGGGTTAAATGTTTAATAAATGACGAAATTGATGTCTCATGGAAATCCATAGAAATGTTTTTCTTGAATTTGTATGGAGGAAAGGCTTTATTTTATGGAAATGTATATCCGCATGGAGTGTATATCAAAAATATGTATTCCAGATGTTTGAGAGATACTCTGTACTATTGGTTTATTTTCAAATCCAAGATTATTAGGGATGTAAGTCATTTACATGAACCTTTGTGGTTTAATAAAAATATAACTTGCAAAGGAAAACTTTTATATATGGATGATTGGAATAGTAAAAATATTTGTTTCGTTGAAGATATTTGTGATTCTAATCAGCAACTTGCAATGTTTCCGTATGTTTTTCATCATTATTGTTTTTCTAGTTTTTATGATGACATGCTAGCGTATTTAAAAATTATATCATGTATACCCCAGCAATGGAAAACTAATTTATCAAAAACCTCACCAGTCAATCCACATCTTAGTCTTATCGAAGATATTAAAAGCATTGATAAAACGTCTCGATATATTTATGATAAGCTTTGTAATGAAAAAATTTTGCCGCCAACTGAAAAAATAGAAAAATGGTCAAAAGAATTGTGCAGGAACTTAGATAATTGGTTTACATTGTATGAAAAAGTTTTTTATTGCTCTATTGAATCCAGACTTCGTTCATTCCATGTCAAATTTGCCTTGCGAGCAGTGCCCACTAATGACCTGCTATATAGAATAAATAAAACACAAAGTCCAAAATGTACATTTTGTAATATGCATGTTGAAACCGTGTTACATTTATTTTATCTCTGTGAATTTGTGCAGCAATTTTGGGAAATAGTTAACGCTTGGCTAACCGTTGAGTATGGATTAAACTTCAATTTGACACATAGAGAAATGTTATTGGGGGTAGGGCAAAATCAGGGTATAAACTGTGTTTTATTATGTGCCAGATATTTTATATACAAATGTAAACTGCGTAATGAAAGGCCTCAATTTTGCCAATTTTTATATATGATAAAAAATATTATAAACTGTGAAAAGATTATTGCAACTAAAAATGGTAAACTGTCAATCCATAATAAGAAGTGGAAAACTATTGTGTGCTCGTTTTTTTAAAATGCAATTGTATTTGTGCTATTGTGTCTATATAAATGTGTTGTGATAATGTGATGTTTTTATTAATAAAAAAAAAAAAATGTATGTAAAAAAAAAAAAAAAAAAAAAAATTAATTATAATAAAATAAAAAATTAACATATGAATTTTCTCCGTTTGTCCCGGGAGAAAGGAATGACGAAGGAGCAGCTTAATTATACAATAAACCACGACTTCTCGTCATGTAATCAACCCACGTCGGGTAAGGCATGGGGATAGTTGACCGGGCATTTGCTTCAGATGCTTGCACATAATCCGATACAAAAAAAAATTCTTGGTGACTTATGTTATGATACATCATCAGTTACTTCCAGCTCCTAGCGTTTGTGGTGAACGCTATTTATCTATTATACATATATTGTCGAGGCAAATGAAGATACATACATACTGTACATACAACTTTTGCAACAGTCGGATCTTGTAATGTCGTTCCGGATGCTTGGAAAGCAGAATAATATGATTTTGATAGTTAGGAAAGCTGATGAGGTTAAAACATATGGTACCACGGCTTCTCGTCCGGTTACCACTACCAGTCCATGTTGGGTACGGACCAGTTATTATTCCTTTTCAGGTGCATGAACGTCAGTATAAATCAATTTATTTTATAGCCCATACAATTTTGAAAAAATTTGTCAATTGTTCCACTACTGTGAAAAATCTTTTATTTAGGACGTATTGTTGTAGCTTTTATAACTGCCAGCTCTGGTTGTTTTTCAATAATTATAATTATAAAAAAGTTAAAATATAATTCACTGTGTCTCTAGATCTGAGAGTGTCCGTCACAAAATGGTATCTGGGAACATTCCCTCTTTCGAAGCACTCCATAGAAAAAATCTGTGGTTGTTCATGACGAGATGCAGGAACTCCAATAACATTTTATTACAATCATTATTTGATTCCCAGATACTGTTTGTTACGGGCTATCTTAGATTCTATACCTCACTTTTGGTCTCTTAAATAGCTATATTATAACTCTTTTTTGAGACTTACTACTGTGAATCTGATTGTCATATCAGTTATTTTATGTATTTATTGCGTTATTTTTGTTTTGCTTATGTTTATTTGTTGTGTTGTTTTTATATGGACCACAGCGGTCTGGAGTAATAAACGAATTGAAATTGATGGTGAAGGAAGCCGTAATGGAACAGCCGTGAAGTGACCCCAACGACTAACGTGACCCCTACGGCGCCGGAGAGTTCAGCAATTTTTAATTCCCTTTTTCGAAGGATAGGATAGGATAGGATTTACATATTTATCCCGGGGGAGAGGAAAGCCGAGAAGACGGCTTATCCATATGGCGAACCACGGCCTCTCGTCCGGTTACCATTCCAAGTCGGGTATGGGATTAGTTTTTACTGTATTGTTTGTTTTCGGAAGCATGGACTTGGTGGTAGAGGAAGCCGTAACCGACCAGCGGTTACGTGAACCACCCAACGACGGCGAGGAGTCCAGCAATCCTCTCGCACACAACCATCCCTTCATGGGATTCGAACCTGCGAACCCACGCAGAGTAATTAGAGGTGCGGTGGCGAGCGTCTTCCTAACGCTTAGCCCGTTGAGCCACACCGCGGCGCCAAGACTGAAAGGGTGTTTCAAAATGCACCTACTGACAATTTTGCTACTTCGATAACAGCTTGATCGTTCTGATATATCGTGCACACGGGCCTAGTCTGTGCTTCATGTTGGTGAGAGGGCGTTTGAAGACAATGTAGGACCTAAAATGCCTTTTAATTCCGTGTTTATAACCTCATTGGTTGCATCTCCACTCCTGCGTGCATAATCCAGTCATATATCATCACCGAGTATCTGATTGCGCTCTTTCTAAATAATCCCCCCCCCCCCCCCCCCCCTATTTTTTGTTATAATGATGCTATGCCTATAAAAGGGCTCAATCATATGACGAACCATGGCCTCTCGTCTAGTAGCCAGTCCACGGCGGATATAGGATTAGGTAACCAGTTATTTGTTCAAATGCATGAACTTGATGCTGGAGGAAGCTGTTATCGACCAGCGGTCACGTCAACCACCCTACGAAAGAGACGAGTCCTCTCCTCACTTAATCCTCTCGCACGTAATTCTTCTCAAACGATTCGAATTCACTCAGAATAATAATTAGTGCGGGGACGAGCGGCCTCCTTTCCAATTTTATTTTGGATATAATCCATTATAAAACGGTTTTATTCTGCATTTCTTGAATTGGGTCATCGAAAACCTGCTGACAGTTTCATAGGAAATAAACATGACCGCTTATAATATTTTGTGAGTGTGTGTCTTTAATTTTAATAATTCCGGGATTAGATGGTGAAGATTTCGAAAAACCTCGTAGGTAGAGGCGAGAAAACACGGAAAACTTGCATGATCCCTACAAACAATCAAACATTTCAGAACGAGCGTGCATTTTCAGATCTTGTTTTTTTTTTGCAAACAATCAGAATCGTCTTAATGGTGACACTCTCGATGCGGGGTTATATGGTAAAAATTCCAGGAAATCTGGTCCCGAAATAGCGACCCAAGTATATACTTAATAGTGGTTTCTGAGGATAAGATTCACATATTCATCCTGGGGGACTTCCTCTTGAACCAATGACAGACATACTTGCGTGAACCACACTGCAATTTTGAGAAGTCAAGTTTGAATAAGGTAGTGATGTCTGGCAGGACAATATAAGAAGTTGTTGGAAAAAATATACATTTAGTACTGGATCTAGAAAGAAATCTACATATATATATTAGATTTTATAACAAGGAATATGAAAAAGCATTTCATCTCCGAAAGGAAAGAATAATAGAAGTCAATAACATAGTGTGGTTCTTGTCCAAGTCATGGGTCATAAAATTGGGTATGTGAACCAAGATGGTAGACACTGGAACTAGGGTTAGGCCATAATTTTATTCCAATTTTTCTCATTTTAGTTCTATTACAAGTTCGGGAACTAGTCAAGTGACTCCCGTAGTATTTATACCTGAAATTATTGGCTAACCCTAACATGGTACACATACTACGTTCCGGTGTCCGCCATCTTGGTTCACATACTTCGGTAGTGAACAATACAGACATAGTACAAGGTTGGTGGAGGAAGCTGTTACATCACCAACAAACAAACCCCAGTGTGTTCTGAAACTATGATTCCGAAAACAGAATGAGTTAGTTAGCCAACAAAGTCTTCAAAAAAAAAGTATTCACAAAGAAATGAGGTAAACCACTAATAGCAATATTTTGAAACGTCACTCAGACCCACACAATCAACCATGCCAGTTCTGTTATCAGTAACTTCATATAACGCTCCCCTTTTAACAACTCATACAGTGTTGTGTAGTAAGTGGAACCTATGGACAGGGGGTGTATTCACTTGGCGAGCACAGACAGTCTCCGAACTCGTAATAGAACTAAAATCGGGAACAAAATTATGACCTAACCCCAACCTGGTACACACACAAAAATTTGGAATCCCATTATCAGAAGCTCATAGCTCTACAGTGGTCAATTACAACTCATTTTTCTCTGGCTTAAAATCGGATGATCAATACAGTCGTTCTGTAGATATCCGTGACATTAGCAATCGATAAATTTTATACGAAAGTTCAGCTCCTATCCGCCGACTTGTTTGTAAAGTTCCGACTCCCCTCCGTACAGGGATATCTGCAAGCAACATCTCGGCTTTTGAAGTATCATTTCCGCACAATTCATAAGCTTTGATAAGAGAGAGCAGTGAAGGGTAACGGTCAGATATTGCTGTAGCCATGACTGGAGTTACCTGCAATAAATCAGGATAATTTGATATCAGGTAGAGTAGATTTTATAACTGACATGGGCAAACCACAGCCCGTAGGCCAAATCCGGCCCGTTGGGTAATTCAATCTGATCCGCCTGATACTGCCACACCACAACGAAATTTTTATGTTTTAGCTAAAAAAATAGATCACGGAATTTGCTGAGATTGCAATTAAATTTAGTTTTGGCATGAGGCTTATTGTTTTCTACTTTTCCACACTGTACCAGAATACCAACATCTTTGAAAATAGGAATATTGCCGGAATATTTGCTTTTCCATGATGATCGATATAAGCTATAATACCATGAAGTCTGTTTTAAAACAACATAAAAGTGCGCTTCAGAAGTGTGTGTACCAATATGGAGGTAACTAATTATTTTCGCATATTTTACATCAAGTAATGTAAAGGGACTGAAGCGTATGGGCACTTGGCTAACACAGACAGTTCCCGATCTCGTAAGGTAACTAAAACAAGGAAAATCGAAATGAAATTATGGCCTAACCCTAACCTGGTCACATACTTCGGAAGTACCCATAAAAAGAACTTACATTATGAAACTGTTGCATCATTTGCTTCCAGACTTTTTTCAATCCCTCTCCAGTTTTAGGGTTGATTTTTACAGAAGGAATTTCATTAATAAAGAGAACATCATTACGCTTCATTCGTTTGTAAGGTGCCTCACCGATCGACTTTGTGAGCTGGAACACAAAGTGAATAACTTTTTAAAAAGACTTATTTTACATCTCTGTACAGTGTACACGCACCACTGATATATAGGGTGTCCATCAAGTCTTAAAAAATTTAAATTTGCAAAGGAATTTATCGATACTACATATTGTTTTGGTCCTAACAGACTATTAAATGAAGTAAAAATACTTTAACAATTACTGATTAAAATGCAACAAATCTGTTTGGGATATATTGAGAATTGCCTTCATACCAAAATTGAAATTTTGTTGAGGACTTCATGGACACCCTATATGTAGGATCAATATAGAGAATCAAATTTTAATAAAAAATCTTTGACCTATGTAACCCTCATTCAAAAGACTGTTAAGAACGCTTAGTAAATATAATGCTTTTATTTTTTTTTTCATTCTTTATGACTTTTATTTCACGTCTTTCTCCAGGTACAAGGCCATGTACAAATACCATTGTTATACAAGGAATCACTATTCTTAGATAAACCAGGCCTTTTCAGTTTGGCATTGGGCCTACCCAATTTGTGGTGTGAAATGCTATTTGAACCAGAAATGTGTAATCTCCGTTTCCAAACACATTTCAAGTTTGAAGTTAAACCACTTAAAGATTGAGTTTTTAAAACAGAGTCACGATTGAATAAATGAGGTAGATATGAAACAAAAAAAGCATTGCTCAAATATAGGTACATGTGCATTGATACAAATACGGCAATGTGGAGATTTTACTGAAAAGATCAGTGGACTGGCATGGACTTGTTCTAGCCATTTCAGGCTTGTTGCATTCACCTGTTTAACCATGGCGACTAGTTCTGTAGGTTTCTCAATATAAAGCACAGTTGTTCGACATTCAATCTGTAAGTCAACCAAAACTTCTTCTATTTGATCTTGAGAGACTTCTGGTACACTTGGCGTTTTTTTCCTCTTTGCAGTTGTGCCTTTTTCTGGATATAAAATAGGCTCAATCGTAAGGTATAGAAATACCACAGCATACATAAAATGGGTTAGTGGCTTTTGCACGTTGTTTGGATATGGAGTAAAAATTTATACACAAATCATGGCGTACCCATGGATTGCGAGTCAGAACACCTCCTTTTTTGAAATGTAAAAAAGTTATTTTTCTGTTTCATATTAAGCGCAATTCTTCGTGGCTTGAAACGTTTTTCGTGACACAAACCCAAAATTGTCTTCGACCTTGAGTCGGGAATGGATTTCAAATTTTATCAAAACACAACAGCCCTACCAGTCATAAAGCTTGACGTCGGGTAATTAATCGGCAATCGGTTCAATAAAAATTACTGTATTACACCTTGTCTATCTTACTCGGCAATTAGAAATTACAGAACCCCCTTCCTCTCTTAAAAATTCCTGGATACGCCCCTTGACACAAACCCAAAATTGACTTTGACCTGGAGTCGCAACAAGATTTTGAATCTTTTCTTGGCCTGAAAGCGTTGTTACCAGTCATAAAATAAAGCTTGAAGTCAGGTAATTAATTGGCAAGTGGCAAAATGAAAATTATTGTATTGCACCTTGTCTCTCTAAGTTGGCAATTAGAAATGTCACTTCTCCCCCCCCCCCCCTCCCCTTTGAAAATTCCTGGGAAACGTTTAATGTCAGATAATTAATTGGCGAGTGGATAAATAAAAATTATCGTAGTGTACCTTGTCTTTTCTCCTCTCTTCTCTGTATATTTTTTAAATTCTTATTATATTTTTCCAAACCATGGCAGACCAGATGAATGTTGATCCCTGGATTTTCAATTTGCAGCTTTTTAACCCACTTTGTCAAGGTTTCTTCCTGAATATTTGAAAATTAAACAATAGGATTTCCATATAAGAAGAGCCAATGGGAAGAGCCTAATAATGATGGACCTCTTTTTAAGCGCCGCTTATTCATGGTCTCACTTCAAACAAGGCCCAGTACAAGCAAGGGCACATCCAACCCAAATTGGGGGGGAGGGGGGGATTTTTTCGTGTTCATATTCTGAAATGCGATTTTGTGGTGTTTGCAGTGAGACATCAATTCCTAAGCCTTTTCCAACAACATTCTACTCTTTGAACGATTCACTGAAAACTGACTTTTCCTGGCTTGCTATCAATATTCCTTTTACCAAATGAACCAACTGAGATAGAAGAAGATGTGCGCTTGAATACTTTGGATAACTTTGACAGCAAAATAAGTCTGAAGAGTGATTCTTTAAGATATGGTTAGATCAGGGGTGGGCAACATACGGACCCGGCCCGCGACAAGATTTTGACCGGCCCGCTGACTGTATCCAACAACACTCTGTAATGTGGTCCGGCGCATTATTCCTGAAAGTTGCCGATCGCTCTACTCTCACCACACTGTCAGCTGGTGTAATGAACAATTGCCTTAGTGAACAAACAATTTGCGATAGCACACTTGTTAAACAAACAATAGAAGGTCAAAGCAGAGAGCGTTGTAAACATTCCCACTACTGTTATCAGTTATATTTAAATTCTAAATATAAATAGATTTTAGAAATTAGATTTTATATCAATATTAGGTTTTATTAACCATAAAGTATCCCAAGAAACGTAAAATTGACAGAGAGTGTCGAGCATTTAACAAAGATTGGATACCGAAGTATTTTTTGTAATAATCCGGCCCGCCTAGGACTTCATTTTCCCACATCTGGCCCGCCGACTAGAGAAGTTGCACACCCCTGGGTTAGATAATAGTGGCAGCTTTTATCAGATTCAGAAACCTAAAAATTGGCATGCGTCATTTTCTGTTCTGCATGCTTTTCCTGATTAATATGACCATCCATATATAACGTTAGGCATATTTCTTTGTAAACCAGAAAACAGTCAAGAACAGTATAATATTCCAGTAAGATATGAACTTGTTGCGACCTTGCAGGTGGTCACGAGGCGCGTAAAAAAGCATGGGCCGCAGAGACGTTTTCCAGTACTTTGAACAGACACAGTAGGATTTTGAGCCTGGTGCCAAGTTATCGACGGCGTTGTCATTGTATCGTAAATTCATTTCGTTTGAGGCGTCGATCAACTGCAGAGAGATTTTTCTTACGAATAATGGGTGCCCAGCACTGCATTTCATTACGCAAATATATGGTATGGTTTCACCCATTCCAATTTTTGGCCGGCACATTATTTGATAGTTTTTCTCAATGTGAAATGTGTTTAAGTGTGCTTTTTTTTTCTAGAAGCATATTGAGTGCCCGACATTGCATTACATTACGCAAATATATGTTATTTTTTTTCTTTTCCGGTCATTTCAATTTTTGCAGGTTCGCGGTTACATTTAATTTGATTTTACCGAACCGCCAGGGTAGAAAGGTCGGGAACCACTGATCTAGTCCATTAAACACTTTTGTGCCTGGCCCCCTGAAAATCACTTTGTGGCCCCCTTAGAGAGGCCGAGGGACCAATTTGAGAAATTCTCTTAATTGAAAAAAAAATCAGATATAAATAAAGTCTTCCTTACATTAGAAAATGCGTTAATTTGTGCATGGACCATTTTAACAAACTCTGAAGCTGGGAGTGCCACCAACATCTCAGGTTCATCATGTATTTCTGATGATTGACCCCCAACCTCTGTTGTTGTGGTAACCTTTCTGCTCCATCGAACACAGGGAAGGTCAAATAATTCTCTCTGGCAAGCCGGTTCAAATCCATCCTGAAATGTAATAATTTTCCATGTTGAATAAAGGCTTTGACCAGACTGTGCCTTACCCCGCAAACTAGTATTAATTGGACTCCAGAGATGTGGAATGTCGTGAGAATTTTGACTTAAGAAAATCAAATTCTGATGATGAAATCTTTAGTGTATGCAAGCCTTTATTAATGACTGTTAATTAAGAACGCTTAGCAAATTAATTCTGTTTCAATAGAAAGTTTTAATTTACTTTATCACTATCGAAAATCTGAAATTCTGAATCCTGACTTTAATTAAGAAGTTTACGAATGAGACTTTGACCGATGATGCAGCCATTGAGGGTTACAGGGATCGTAATAAATTAATTTTAAGTTCTTTAACCGCGCCGCGTATTGCACCTTTGGTGTGCTATTCAATCCAAGCGTACCCTTACCAGGTAAAAAATCATGGCTGTACCCCTGCTCCGACTCCAGAGCGAATTCGCTAATTGATTATTGTTCGCAATTGAGATGAGTTGTTTTCAACTCCGAGACAAGAACTCAATACTCACAATAACTATATAATAAAATACTCAATTCAAGTATGTCTATCATAATAATTAATACTGACCATAGTAGTCTAGGGATAAATATACATTAAAAAGACTGGAAATTGCTAATTTCTCCAAATTCATGAATTGGATCGATATAGGGCCCGTTGTAATTAGACAAACAGATGCCAACCAAAAATATAATTGGATCGATGACACCAGAAGCTAATTAGTATTCCAACCCGAATCGATAACCCTAATGGAATCAATATCATCATACACACATATGTATAAATATGTTTTCAATTGGATATTTAAAAGGGATGTATTGGAAGGTCTGATAATAGGAGTCGAGTCGTCTGGATCGGTGTCGTGTCGTCATGTCTTCATCGTTTGTTCTCCGTGTCTATCTACAATATTAAACTCATCTACAACGTTAAGACGTGTTCTTTATTTGCTAGTATGCTAAAGTAGTTTACCTTCAATTCAGACATGAAGTCAAAATCATCAAACATCGACACAATCAATTGTGAGATTAAAACTTTCATATATTTCAGGCATTCCTCTGGTTTCAGCGCTTTCAGGTGTAAATTCAGTGCTTTCCTTCGATCAGCTTCTGCTTTTTTAGCAATTTTTGCTCTTTCTGATTCAGGGTTTTTTCTGGGGGATTTTCGTTGAATAGCGTTAGGTACGGGTTTCAGATAACTAGCATCATCAGCATTTGTAAGGTCTAATGTTTCAATGTTCGTTTTACTTTTAACAGGAGAATTTTTTTTCCTGATATCCTGCATAGAGTTAGTAAATGATTTTAGAGATCCCATTTCATCATCACTAATTGTGAGATCCAATGTTTCAATGTTCATTTTACAAGGTGAAATTTTAACTCCAATACCCTGCTGAACATTTGAGTTTATAATTGAGGTAACATTTTCTTTGTTTGTTAATGCTGCTGTTGATGTGTTGTTCTGTATTTTAAAAACCGGCAGGTCTTCCTCTTCTTCAGAAATTTCAGTTGTATTCGAGCCCTTCATTTTTAATCTCGCTGATAGCGGAACATATTCTTCATCACTAATGTTTGATTCAACATTATTGCTGAAATGAAGATAAAAAATTCAGAGGGTATTTAAAAATTTGACATTTTACAACTGGCACATTGGCTAAGCAGTAGGATATGCTTGCCCTTACACCTTTGATCACCCTGCATGGGTTTGCAAGTTCATATTCTATGTCTGGTGTAGTTTAGTACTACATGTACATAACCATTAATAATCATTTCAGATTGGAAAACAGATATATCATATACACCCATAATAAAATATTGATGTTTGGGATCCAAATTCGTTAATTGATTCAGATGCATTGTGTACTGAATCTCAGTGTACAATTTGAAAACTCATAGTCATAGGGTTTGGCTACAGTGGGTAGTAGGCTTGCACGTAATTGACAAAAATCAATTCCGTAATTACGGCCAAATCGATTACGTAATGACCCCGTAATTGCGATATTTTTTTCACACATTTAAACCTATCATAACAACCAATTTAATCCACTTTTATTCCGAATGGGACATCGAAGTTTGGTTTTCATATTCCCGGCAGTACTACACGCCGGCGACAGATGTTAAAGACAAATATCAAGGAGTGAATTCAAAATAATTTTATTCTGATTTTTATCTTTTGTATTAGCTTTGATTTTTTTATCCACTATATCACCAAATTTTATGCGATCAATTTTAACATTACCAACACTGGTAATATATTTATGAAACGATAGTTCACTTTTTTAAAATCGTATGAACGTATTAATACGACTTTCGTATTATATAAAAATTCCGGGTTGCTAATTTATTAATCAACTACAAGCGTATTCTCTCGTTTGATTATACTTTCGCTTGCCTCGCGACGAAGACTTGTTATTTCACCGTTTTTTACAATATCCGACTTTACTACTTAGTTAGCATTTTATAATAATTATTGATGCCGACTTATTGACGATATTCCGAATTCCATGCTTCATTTTACATTAAATCATTTCGCGGCCTAAAAGTTATAACATTATTTGCGATAAATTTAGATCAAATATTAATTATTTGCGCATTATTTAAAATACCGTACTTATATGACATGCCTTCTCCGAAAATACAAAGTTATATCGCAAAACAATGCATTTTGTGACATTTATTTTGCACTCATGAAAATATTAATTTATTCTTCTAACTCAAGTCGACAATCCTATTTGCCAAGATTGACACAAGTTTGGTCGAGTGCCGGTGGTATTCGAGTCGACAATAAATCAAAATAAGTTGCCGCATTTGGTAAAGACAGGTAATCATATTTGGCCGACATATTGCGAGGCATTGTGAAAAACATATTGAGCAATGCCAAGTCCGGACAGATATATAACGATAAAATCGGTAACAGAACATCAAGATTTTGTAATAGAAAATGGATCTCGCGCAGAATAAACACGTGAAATCCCGTCGTATTGTTGTTTCTCTGCCGTCTCAATCGCTTTACCGATGCCGAAAAGACTAAGTTGCGATGGTTTATTACGCAATTTCTCTTCCGTCTTTATATTGCTGTTTGATAAGCGCGACATTAATTATCACGGCATTTACAAATAGACCATGTTTTATGAGTTGATCTCTTACATTCTTTAGTCATTTCACCCGAAGAAGTTGAAACCAGGTGTGTTGACGTCCATCGGTCTCAACACAATTCTATTCCTTATCTACGGTTAATATGTACATTGGCCATCCTAGATAAGTTGATGATAGGTTAGTAAATGAGGCGTTATGCCTTCCCCATCTGCCTAACAAGAGAGAGAAAAACGGCTGCGAATACCGGAACTCTAACTTCTTTTACTTAAACTTTAATTTTTTACAATCGACGGAATTGACTGCTCTGAAGAGAGCTCGTTTCAATCGCGAAAGCGCTCGACCAATAATTACGACTTTACGTAATTCGTAACTTCGCTTCCGTAACTCGAAATAATTCCGTAATTCCGTAAATCCGTAAATTACGTGCAAGCCTAGTGGGTAGTAAAATAAATGTTGACTTATCTTATCAAATTATTAAATTGAGTTGCGTGCGCAGGATTCCTGTATAACACCATATTTTGTATTTTACTAATAGGAAATTAACATTTAATACTGACATTTTCTTAACAATTTGAATTAACACTAATATTCGATAATTCGATTTTTCATAATTACCAGGTAGCCTGATATTAAAAATGTTAATATAAAAATTTGGCAGCAAAATATCCAAATTAGTTGAGCTAGTTTGGCTGATAAACAGCTAAAAACAGGTCAGAATTCTATTCCTGTTTCTACTCGCGGTGGTGTTGTGTGGACGTGCATGCCCCATAGTTCGTGATCTATCCAGGAAAGAAACAATTTCTTAGGTTCAACATAGGATAGGATTTGCATATTTATCCAGGGGGAGATGAAAGCCGATAAGACAGCTTAATCAAATGGCGAACCACGGCCTCTCGTCCGGTTACCAGTACAGGTTGGGTATGGGATTAGTTAGCCAGTTATTTGTTTTCGGAAGCATGGACTTGATGGTGGAGGAAGCCGTAACCGACCAGCGGTTACGTGAACCACCCTACGGCGGCGAGGAGTCCAGCGATCCTCTCGCACATTAACCTGCGATCCCACGAAGAGTAATCAGAGATGCAGTGGCGAGCGTATTCCTAACGCTTAGCACAATGCGCCACATCGACGAGCCATCAGTATTCTAATTTATTTTTTAAAACATTCTGGATCATATTAAAAAGCTAAATATATGGGGAACATCGGTCTACATTTTGCCGATACTGACACAATACCCATACCGGAAATTTGGTCGATATTGTCTATAACTAGGCTTACCATACGTCCCGCTATAGGCGGGACAGTCCCGCTTTTCAGCGTTTTGTCCCGCCGTCTCGATAAGTCAGCCATAAGTCCCGCTTTTCCAGCATAATATACAAACATGTTCTCGTTACTGTTGTTTCTGTGTAGCGCAGCGCTAGCCTACTTACTGAAGGTGAATGCGTTCGTTTTCGCTGATTCCCATTGATGGCAGACGTATCACATGTAAAGCCAATACTAATTAGTCTAAAATTCGAATTATTTGTACCGGTATCGTTAACGTCAATTCCTTCCTATTTTTCGAACTGAACCCGATATTTGGACAGAAAATATGCGCATGAAATTTTGATAACAATATGGTCAATAAAGACAGACGAGACAGCTTTAAATGTAGGAATGTAGGCCTACCGTAAAAGCAGCTAACTTCGGATGATTTCACTATATTTTAATCAATAACTCTGCCGTTTGTTGTCCGATTCGCGTCAAACTTGAAATATATTACATTGATGTAATTCTCTGCATCTACATATAATTTTCTCGATGATCGGATCATTTTTTCTGTCTTAATTGTCTCATTTCTGTGATCTGTAACGACGCAAATAAATATCTAACTTCGGATGGGTGTATCCCCTCCCTGCGTCACCGCAACTAGAGCGAAAAGTGCGTGCGTGAGGACAAAACACGCTTTACGTCGTTGCGTAAATGCCAGATGTTCAATCCACGTCGCGAGCGACGATGATAATGTCGACCGTGGGATTTCCGGCGCGGCACTTTTAAGTTGATTTTATACTAAAATGTCTCGTTTTATTTTCTCTTATCGTAACATTAGATCCGAATATTCACCGGTCATAGTCGATTTAGTTATAGCCGATGATGTTTTGATAGCGTTTTTTACACTCCACAGTCACACCATGTATAGTCGCACAATATATATTATTGAGCGTGCACATGACAGCACTCTTTATTAAATTGACCTATTTAAATGTCGGCCGTGCATAAATCACGACAAAACACTGATTTGGCAATTGGCAACTTTATTAAAATTACTTTCGTTAAATTCACAAAACGGAACTCACTTGCAGCAATGGTTGTTGTTATTTATCGCTGGTTATATATTTTTATATTTACGCAATATTTCTCGACTGCTCACAATTTTTCTATTTTGAACCATGTTGCCGTACCAAATGGAGAAATTTGAAATCGTCAAATCGAATGGATATGCTTTTCATTAATTGCCATTTTTAATAAATTTAATTGAATTACATCTCCAGCATTTGACGCCATGAATTTACGATCCACAGAAAACGGTTGATGCGTATATTTTGCCGATATTGATCAATCGAACAAAATATCGTTGTTATTTTCAAATCTACGCCAACTCGTCGGCGCCCGAATGTCTGGCGTCAAACCTGTAACGGCGACGCAACGTGACGTCGTCCTCGAAGTGAGCGACGTTAGGGTGACGTCAAGTTCAACGTTTGCGTCAGATGCTATTATTGTGATAAAAAAAATTATTCAAATTTTAATTTTTTATCGGGTCTCATACGACATCTCGCGATCAGTCTAATTTTCTATATACATTGATAACGCCCTCTATCGAATGATGCTATTTTGACGAAGTTTGCATCAGTAGAAATCACGATTTGAGCCGCTCGAAAACGGAGTGTCAATTTTATGCTAAAACATGATTTTTTTAATCATAAAATAAATTAAACTGCGCAATTGAATAGGATAACAGATTTAGATATATAATTCCTCGCTATAGAAACTGTCATAAGCACAATATGACGCAAATTAGTCGAGATAAGAACGATTAAAAATTTCATCCGAAGTTATAAACCATCCGAAGTTACCTGCTTTTACGGTATGTAGTAAAATCGGAAAATGTGAAGGCATAAAATCACAGCTAAGGGGTCGTTGTCTTTCGAGGCGTCCCGATTTGAAGTCACAAAAATATGGTAACCCTATCTATAACGATACATCCCTCTGTCTGTAGTATGAATATAAAAATCCTATCCTACTTTGTGCTGTATTTTTTCCTCTTCTTTTTCACTTTCAACAGAACTCCGTTCGTTGTTTTCTCATCTTCGCTGTCACTAGAAGACAGCTGCCAGTTTCCAAAAGATGTCATTTGAATATTTTGACACGAAGCGACTTAAATAGAAATTAAAATTAGCCTACGGTACAGCTACGCACATAGGCTTTATACAACCAGAATACAGCAACATTCACAACACACTGGACGAATTTCGCGCTTCACGAGAACCAAACGAAAACCGCCAATATATCCACGAGCTGTCAGTAGAGGATTTAATGTTTTTTCCGACCTTTGACCCAATCAAAATATTTTCTGAACGCAAGAGAGAGTATTTCATTTTGCAAAACCAAGAAAACAATATATGCATACATATATAAATATTGAATAAACATATGCTATCGTTCATGACTGGGAGGCAACAAATAAAACGTACGGTATCGATATACTATTTTTGGTCGCTTGCGCCTGGCACACCCGCGTGTCAGATTGTGTTCTGTTTGACCAATGACATTAAACAACATGATAGGCAACTCTGACGTCACTCCATAAGACTACAGGCAAAACATTGTATTTCATGATACGCTCCAATGCACATATTTCTCGTCGCCTTCCGCGTCCGTTTTCCGCTCGCTTTTGCTACTCGGCGTCTTTTTTACGTGTAGTACCTACCTTTTTGCGCCTGTAACGAAACAAAATAATCTCTATATCTAAGAAGTTTTGCTTACTTGGAAAGCTGGAATAACAGGCAAGCTGTAAAGAGCAATTCTGGACATCATAGACGTTTTTTTTTATCAGAGAAGATTACAAACGCGATAGCGGAAAGATTTGTGTGGAACATTTTGCAGATAATGACAAAGTTCAAAGTTAGTAATTTTAATGTTTGCGCTTAATCATTGAAATTTCATTTAAAGAGGGTGTCATACAAAACTGTGCTGCGATACAATTCCATAACACAAAGTTTGCACCTATCGAACTTGCTTTTGTAGGTGAATTTATTAGACATATTACATATTCAGTTAATCGTAGGTAACATTGCTGGTACATAATGCATCGTAGATAGGTTTGTTTAAATTTAGGAATTTAGCTCATAGCCAGTCAGTCAGTCAGTAGTTTATTTTATCACATACCAAAAGTACACAATAGACAAAAATAACTACGAATCACATATAAAACAATACTTTCAGTGTGAAGGGAGGCGCGATAAACCAGAAGAGGTTATCGAGCAGCGTCACCCTGGGGGAGTGAGTCCAAAATTTAAATCATAGTGAGAAAAAAGTCAAACAGGATACTAGCAAAAGTCGTGAATAATAAATAAAATAATAAAGTCGAAGACGGCCTTTTTACACATTTAAGTGACCGATATCACGGTGTCACTCTAGTTAATATGAGAATGCGACTCCCGACACCACTGGTCGAGGTAGCCATGGTAACAGCAGTTGATTATTGAATAACAAACAGAAAAATAAAGTCGAGTTAGTTATTCCAATCGATGCGCAAATAGTGTTATATTTTGACGCCGTACCGAAGTACGACATAGGAGGGTAGAGACCGCCGGAAAGTATAAGTGAATTCAGTAGCACTCAGATTTGAGTGATTTTTAAATATAAAATCGTAGGTCTCTACCGAAGGTGGAGGCAGATGTAAACATGAAAATGTGACAAAAATGGGCAAAAAAGCAGTAAAAGGTAAGCATTTTTCTGGTAAATGCTAAGCTATTAATCATAGGATAGATCCAGTACAAAAGCGCATGAGACAACAAAATGCACTAGAAGTATACAAATAGGATGATGAGAACCACTATAGTACCGGTAAGGTATCATGCTAAATTAGTTAAATAAAGCTGCACTTAATAAATACCAATAATTGATAATAATATTTTAATAAATAACAATAATACGAGTTAACCCTTGTGGTATTAAGAGATAGTTGTTTATTAAGCGTTAACTCAAAGATAGGCACTTGTGTGTGACTGTATGACCACGGAAATCTGAGTTAGATTGGAGGTAAGAAAACTGGCGATAAATAAAGCAGTTCAAAAATTCTATAAGTTTGCGCACATCAACATATATAGAGTATAACAAGAATAGGGATGAATTATGATGATTCCACAGTAACATTGCAATATATAAAATACAACAAGCATTTAACAGCAAATAAACAGGTCTCTTCATTACAAGCAGGCTGTGGATCGACTTGATGGACACAAAGCAAGGATAAAATATGAAACAGCGACTTGGAAAATTCAGGTGGGTTGGTAAGAGGAAATAAGGAATTTTTTATAATTAAATTTGAAAGTCATGTAAGATGACTCACGTAGGTCTTGGGGTAGACTGTCCCAAATTGAAACACCTTGATATTTCAAAGAATTTTGGGATTTGCTTAGTGAGAAGCGAGGTACAAAAAATTACTCTTTGTTGAGGAGCGGGTGTTATATTTATGCACTGAAGTTAGGGTGAGAAAATACTGGTCGAAAGCCGCTGGCAATTGATTGTTTTGGAATTGGTGCATAATCTTAGAAATTTCTAGTTTGTAGATGTCATGTAATTTTAGTACTCTATGCTTATAATATAGATTGTTTAAATTGGAACGTAAAGGTGCCCAAGAAAGGATTCTAATGGCCCTATTTTGTAAGACTTCCAATTTACGCATGTTTACTTTAGCTGTAGAACCCCATGCCGCTATGGCATACTGAATGTGGGCCTGAAAAAGTGCGAAGTAAATGGTTCTTAGTGTGGTATCCTGTAAGTAATATCTAAGCTTACCCAGGATCCCTACCGTTCTTGATAGTTTTCTATGCAAATCAGCAGTGTGGGTGTTCCACTTTAATTGGTGGTCGATATTGAGTCCTAGATATTTATAAGACTGGACTACTTCTAAATTTCTGCCATTGATTCCAATTGCGAGGTTGGGGTATCTAGTGTGAGATTTTGAACTGAACACCATGACTTTTGACTTGTCTATATTCACTGTTAGCTTGTTGCATAACATCCATTCATAAATTTTATTTATTTCAGTGTTCATATTTAGCTGAAGTGTAGTCGGATCCTTCGCGCTGGTGAGCAAGCATGCATCATCTGCAAATAGTTTACTCAAAAGATTCGAGCTGTTGGAAAGGTCGTTTATGAAACATAAGAACGCTAATGGGCCAACTACTGAGCCCTGAACAATTCCGCAGTGGATGGGTAACATTGGGGATCTATGGGGACCTATTTCAACAAATTGATACCGGCCTGTCAGGTAATCGGATAACAGTTTTCCTGCATTACCCCTAAAACCGTAATGTCTTAACTTGTGAATGAGAATAGAGTGGTCTACGGTATCAAAAGCCCTTTTTAGATCTAGGAAGGCACAACAAACATACTCGCCTTTGTCTATTTTATCATATATAAATGATGTCAGATCAAGGATAGCATGACTGGTGGAGTGTTTGGTCTGGAATCCAAATTGACATTTGTTTATCAAACTGAATTTAGTACAATAGCTCATCATTCTGGTATACAACAACTTTTCCATTATGATGCTAATTGAAGATAAAATAGAGATTGGTCTATAATTTGAAGGGTTGTTTTTTTTCCCACATTTAAAAATTGGTATAACTCTAGCAAGTTTTAATGAAGAAGGAAATATACCTAAATTGAATGACGAATTGAAGAAATTACTCAAAGCTGGTGATATGATATCAGCAACTAATTTCAAAAAATAAGAGGAAATACCATCCGGTCCAACCGCTTTACCCTTTTTTAGGTCCCTGATTACACAGAGAACTTCTAAAGGTGATGTTGACTCAAGAAAAAAAGAGTTCTGTAAAGGGACACCCAGGAATTCAGCATTTGATTTGGTACTATGTGGGATTTCATCTGCGAGTTTTTTCCCTATAGAAGAGAAGAATTTGTTGAATTCAGTGGCCACATAGATGGGGTCTGTCACAGTAGTACCATTTTCCAATTTTAATTCTGAGACGGTGGGGACCTCTCTTGTCTTAATTTTTATAATCTCATTGATGGTTTGCCATGTGCGTTTGACGTCTCCTCTGTTGTTGACTAGAATATTGTGGTAGTACTGCTGTTTCGATTTCCTTAGCAAGTGTGTTAAAATATTCTTATATTTTTTGAAGTAATGACGCTGCGATGCGTTTCCGTTCAAAAACATTATTCTGAACATGGCGTTTTTGTGTTTGATGGACTTGCGAATTCCCCTGGTTATCCAGGGCTTGGAATACAATTTATTTTCTCTGCGTGACAGAGGGCGTAATGGTGCGTGCTTATTTATCAACCACTTAAAATGGCTAAGAAAGAGGTCAAATGAACTATTAAAATTTTCTTTGGATAATATACCACTGGCATAATTTCTACACATCATCTCAACTTCCAATCTGAATGTGTCGGCAGAAAAATTTGCCATGTCACGCTTCATGCGTGTTTTTGTTTGGACTTGAGCACTAGTTGTTGATAAAGTACACATAATAGGAAAATGATCGGTGAGATCACTAATTATAATAAATGATGATGAGCATGATTTTAAGGTGTTGGTGTAAATGTGATCTATTAAGGTGTGGGAGGATGAAGTAACTCTTGTTGGTCTAGTGATGATTGGGAATACAAAATTGGACATGAGCATATCCAAGTATTTGGAGGTTGGAGTATCGAGGGTGTTGAGGAGGTTTAAAATATTACTAATTAATATTATCTTCTATGCAGGAGGTTGCAGGGCTGAATTCAACTTGCAGCCTTACCGATCACCTGACGATGCTCATTTAGTTTGGCTCGAGCAAGTCTTCTTGAAATGCTTGTGTGGATGGAAACTACCTATATTTTTTGCCTTCCTCCGATTTTAGACAAATTTATTCTGAGGTATTTCGCATATAATTCTCACTGATTGTTGGCTGTTTATAATTCCTATTGATTGTGAATTCTGATTATAACAATGAGTTGAAAATTTTTTTACCTAATTTACTGGCACCTTTTTCTTGTCAATACTCCAAGCTGAGGTAATAAACATGACAATACATTTATGTCATCTGGAAGCAAAATATGCACACTAATTAATAGTTTGGCACATTGAGATAATACATCATGACAGAAAATACAAGTTAAAGATATGTATGACCATCACATGGTAATTAAAATTAAAAAAAATAAATAGGAGCTGTGGAGTATGGAAAGTTCAAGACAAAGAAAAGAACAAATGTTCATAGCTCATGAACTCTCAATTTTGCTTCCATTGCTTTGTGAAGGCCAATATATTTCGAGTGGCTGAATTGGTTTACCTTTATGATAGCAACGATTTTGTATTTAATATAGCGAGATTATTTCAATTTAATTGAAGTGATATAATTTCCCAAAGCAATGCTTGAATCGTCTAGAATTGATCAGTGGTGTCAAACTCATGGGTTTTCGAGAGCCGCATTGCATTTTGAAAATTGTAAAAAGAGCCGCAAACAGTTTTTGATAATGTATACTTAAAAGATAGTTTTAGTTTGTGACATATATTGTGATGCAACTGAACAGTTGGATTAAGTTTTATTATTTTCTTCAATTTCAAATGCAATTACATATTAATATTTGCATTCCACTATTATTGCAACATTTGCAAGTTACAGTATTTATTATAAAAAATCGTAAAATTCTATGTACAACCATCAAAATCATTTTTGAACAAGCTTTGAATAAGAAAAAAATAATAAATACACTAAAAATAACTTAATCTAAATATATGAACCTAAAATTAACAAAAATACTACAGTATAAACTCAATGTTTTAATAATTACATTTGTCCTGGCGTTTGGCATCTTTTTTGTGTCACCAGCATACTAAGGCCAGTCTGAAATGATTTTATAGTACCAACTCTAACTAACGAGGCCACATGATCATGGGTTTATCTGGATCTTTACGAATGTTTAATTAATTCCAGTAATGCAAAAAAGTTACTTTTATCATTTCATGTATAGATCAGTAAAAAAACAAATGACAGATTTTTTCGACAAGACATTTCGCACTACATTGCGTGGCATAGGATTGCTTGAATTATTTGACACGTAGTGGACATAACGATCGTTTCAATATTATGTTGTTGTTGTTCTTGTTCTTTGACACGTTTTTAAAAAGTCGCTTTTCTCTTTGATTACTGGACTAATTGCTTTGAAATTTTCAGTGGTTGAAGATGAAATTTTTCTCCAGAAGGCTATTACTTTTATTTATTTCAAATATTTCTGTTAGCTCTGTAAGATTTGTTTTTGTTTGCTATGACGTCACTAAACGTTCTGCGGATATCGGACGCCATTTTGTGTCCAACGGACCATCTTGCAATTGCAATTCACGCTGGCACACGACAGGAGTTCTGGTACCTTAACACAGCGCGGTGACACTGAACTAACTCGTAGCTGTCAAAAGCTTGAAAATCCATACAAATATGAGAAATAAAAAGATGAAACTTGGCAGGTGGGTAGGGTTGTGTTTCTTTTAACCATATTTGAAAGTTTCGCGTTTCTACATTTGAAGGAGGGGGAATAGGGGGTGTGCATTTCCGATACGTCGATAATATCTTTGTCAACCAATTTGCGGCCACCGTGTTTTCGTCTGTTTGATTGCTGTGATGTGGTGCTTTGTTTATAATTTAACGAGTTTTGTTCGAAATAACCGTGTTCTTGAAATATATGACGGTCAGAAATGCAATTAGAAGCCATAGGCGTAGCCAGGGGGGGGCCAGAGGGGCCATGGCCCCCCCCAAAATTTTCAAGAATTCCATTCCTAATCCACCAGTTTTGTGGCATCTTGTCTCGTCACGCTTGCCGATTGTCATTGTTACGTCACAAAGACTTGACCGTTTGCTCTTATGAGCAGTATGGGAAAGACCGTTTCGCAAGCTTTCGGTTTGTTACTCGGTCTTGATTTGTTCTCGCCGGATTTTTATTCGAAACGGTTGGATTTTGATGACCAATTTACTTCGATGGCTAAATTTAAACAGGCGAAATTCGATAGTTTTTTTCAGCGAAATAAAGACTCGCTTTCCTCAAATACATCAATAAGCGCTTCTCAGGCTGTGGATGCACCGGTTACGTCAGTTACGTCTATCACATCTATTCCCGAAGATGAACTAATAATCAACGAAGGGAAAACAAACGATCTTGGATTTATTCTTAAGAAACATACACAGCTTACCGATGCGGAGAGAAACTGGCTTCTAACTTCGGATGGTCCGAAAAACGGGACGATTCTGGATACTGTTAGACAAAGTCGTCGTAAATTTCTCAAAAAATGGCTTGACGATAACAGATTTTGTAGTTGGTTAGTTTACACCCAACTCTCTGATGGGGGTGGTTTGTGTAAGATATGCATAGTCATGCAAGCACGTTTGAAGCATGGAATTCTCAGGGACACTGCCTTTGTTACAAGACCATGCATTGACTACAAAAATTTATGGAAAAGGCTGTAGCACACCGAGACACAAATTACCACCGAGAATCAAATATAGCTGCGAAAAATATTTTGTCAAAAGCATGGAAACTGGTCAAAATGTGCGTGCAAACATGGAGGCCAATATGCTACGCAAACAAAAGAAAACAGACGAATAATGACTTCCATTGTCAAGACTGTCATGTTCTGTGCTTCGGGTAACATACCCTTGCGCGGACATTCCGGGGGTAGTGGAAATTTTGTGAACCTTCTTCTATTTCGTATCGAGGCAGGGGATGAAGATTTGAAAAGGTATTTCGCTAGAATGGCCGGAAACGCTAAGTATACAAGCTCGATGATACAAAATGAAATTCTCAAGGTAGCAAGCAACATGATAGTGCAAGATATCGTTATGGAGGCTAATAAATCGTTTGTGTCCGTAATAGCCGACGAATCATGTGATATTTCTGGGAAAGAACAACTAAGCATCGTTTTTAGGTATGTGAAAGGTGGTGAAGTGTGCGAGCGCTTCACAGGATTAGTGGAAATGGATTCTGTTTCTGCCGAATCAATTTCCTCAAATATTTTGACCCACCTCTCTGGTATAGGAGTGGATTTGCAAAAACTTGTGGGGCAAGGCTATGATGGTGCAACGACAATGGCAGGTCACGTCAGCGGTGTGCAAAAACGCATTCGTGATAAATACCCGCGCGCAATATTTGTGCACTGCGCTTCTCATTGTTTGAATTTGATCATAAATGATCAAAGTAAAGTTGCAATCATCAGAAGCACCTGTGATATCCATTCGTGAGACTATTCGTTTTTTCAGGGAGAGCCCTAAAAGGCGCGCGGGTTTAGGAATTAACATCCCTTTGTTCTGCCCCGCCAGATGGTCTGAGAAGTACAAGAGCATCCGAATCTTCAAATGCAACTTCAAACGAGTACTTGAGGCTCTTGATTCTTTGGCGAGAGATGCTAACTGTGAGACGCGGGCGAAGGCTTTTTCTCTGAAATCTGCTCTAGAAAAGTCGTCGGTTATCTACGCCGTATGTTTGATTGGTCGATATTCGGCACTAATGGAGCCACTAGCGCGCGCACTTCAGGCGGTCGGAGTCAGTGTGCCGTCAGTAAAGAACCTCACATCCTCTCTTCAGAGCGTTATCGCTGAAGAACGCAATGACTCTGAAATCGCATTGAATATTTACAAAGAAGCTTGTGAAATAGCTGGCTTGAAAGAGTTGACAATACCCAGAGTAGTCGAAGTACAAGTTTATCTCGATAATGTCTGTGCTGATTCAGCATCCCAGTATTTTAAACGTTCCGTATATCTCCCATACGTCGACGGCTTGAGCTGCTCTATTCGGGAACGCTTCATTGACAACCCTTCATTTTTTTCATTGCTATCAATTCTTCCACCGAACAAACCAGTTCACGTGGATGAGGTAGAGCGTCTGTATTTATTGGATAACCTCCAGAATGAAGTGAGACTGTGGAGAACTTATTTAAGTTCCGACGTTAACGACGAATGTTTGGAGGGGCTTCTTCTGAGCGCTCGAGATTATCCAAGCGTGTACACCGCAATACAGATTGTTATGACGCTACCAGCAACCACCGTTGAGGCTGAGCGGTTTTTCTCATGCATGAAACGGGTAAACACATGGCTGCGCTCATCAATGACGTCCAAGTGCCTTTCTGATTTGTGTGTGCTTCAATGTCACCGTGAAATGGTCACCGAGGAGAAAATTAATCGAGTTGTGTCGAGCATAGTTGGCGGGAAGCGAAGGATGGACTTTTAATTGGGGCGATGTATTTTACTTATTCAAATTGCGTTGTCAATATTTGTTGTTTCAAATAAAAAATTGTTTATTAATGGATTTCGTATTCACAAAAATCCAGCTGAGTAATTGAATCAGTTTGCTTGTTGACCAACTGTTGTTGTTTTGCGCTTGAAGAACGGGTGTTTTAAACCCAATATAATTTCTAAAATTTTCGAATTTGGCCCCCCCCAAAATTTTGGGCTGGCTACGCCACTGTTAGAAGCCCAATGTTTTCACGCTGTCACAAGACCAACAATCGTCAACCAATTTGCGACCACCGTGTTTTGTCTGTTTGATTGCTGTATG